ACGCGCAAAAAGGGAACTACGTCCAAGATATTGAGGTTTTTAACCGAACCCGCGCTTATCGGCCCGAGACACGAGGAGCGGCTGAATCAACCGCGCTACGAGTTATGCTAAACGCGTCGACTTTAATTCATCGAGCTTTCAATTAACACGCGCGAAGCAATAAATGCAAATCGTGCCTCCATTAACCGAGGCCGGAAAATGTCCTTTTTTCTTTGATTATACGGACTGGCGCCTGCAGCGTGACTCTTGTTTCCCGGAGGGGGAAACGAAAATTTATCGTGACGCGTATAGAGCGCTCCGTTCGCAACGTGGCAATAATGCGTTTATTCGCAGAATGATACGAGTAACATTTCAGGCGGACAGATATTTATCGTAGGAAACTCCCCGAGGATCTCCTCACGCCGACGCATTATCACGCGCGAGTAAAACGATACTCCGGGATGGAAGGTTGAAAAGTCGTATCCGCGACTTTCGCAAACGACGGCGATCCATATCCCGCGCGTTTCCACGCGCGGGCCCGATACTTCCCGAGTCGGCGGCGGCATTCCGCGAGTACACGGCGGCGTTTTAATATTCGCGAAATGTAACCCTTGCGCCGCGCCGCGTCTCGCGTGGCGGCGAACGCGCGGCGTGTCCCGTGTGAAAGCACGTTAAGCCCGGGCGGATCGGTTTCTAAGGAGAGAGAGAAGAGAAAGCCTGAGAACATAAGAGCGGCGAACGTCTGGAGCGCGCCGTCGCCGCCGCCGCCGCCGCCAACAGCCGTGCCGCATCCAGAGTATCGCGAGATATATGTATAGCGACGAGCCTTGGGACGAGATCTTCGCCCCGATTCCTCGGAACGACTATCGAGACGGTCGAATTGCGGAATATTCTCGCGTTCGCGCGATACCCGTTGTTGCCGCATTTCTAGGGCCGAGTCGTACAGCCAAGTACGGATTCGAGACACAAAAGCGGGATATGCTGTAAAATTTAAAAAGTTAACGACTACACGTTCTAGGGAAAAGAGATTATCCAGGAATTGCCGACGCGACGTCGCTCTCATTCGCGTTTCATTCGAGTTCTGAATTTAAAATGGACATACGGAAGTAACTGAGATTAACAAAGCCTAAGCTTCGGTCGTTTTAATTCCTGTCGAGTGTTATGAATTTTCATCTCATTATGTCGTAAGTATTACAAATTACGCGCGATTCCATTTCAAGAGAGATAAAAATAAAAACTTTGTATAGACTTAATTTAAATTAAGTCTACTTAGAAAATTTTAAAGATTAATATAAAAATTTTTATTGGTTTTATTATATTCATAAGTATAAATTCTATTATTTTTTACCGTTAATTGAATACACTCACATCTCTTTTGTAACCTAAAACAATGTCGTGTTCGGGTGGTTTTTAAATTATGAGCGAAATCTCTTGTTTTGCCTAACAATGAAAACTGTAAAATAAAATGTGGTGTAATCAATTGACAGAAACAGAATTAAAGACACGTGTCATACACGACGGAAAGATTGGAAAGATGTACCGATAAAATTCGAAATACCGCATTACGGCTCGAGACAATCCAGAAACGATAACGCTGATGGATCTTAATTATCCTGCCCCGTCTTCCCTGTTGGATTTTACCCAACTTTCCTCACTCGCCATTTCGCAGCGGTGTATACGCGGCAATACTCACCGCATCGATGCAAGTATTACGTCACGTTAATTTATGTCCTGGCGAAAAGTCAAGATAGAAATTTACCGAAGGTAAACAATTATCCCCTATTAATTCTCCGTTGCACACGTTCAGGCGGAGAAAATGATCGGGTGCGTTACAGGAGTTTAAGTCCAAAATATACTAGTTATTCAATTTTTTAAGATGTACGCTAATTGAATTGAAAAGATTGTTTTATTCATTCATTTTATTCATTTCTTTACGTTACTTTCTTTAAACGCGATTGTAGTACGCGGACTTTTGTTAAATCACATTCGTAAAATATTTAGAGACGATCACACGAAATTTCGAATTCGTTTTTACAAACGATCTCTCGTAATAGATTCCGACGATGTCTCGTATGGATCAGTCCCACGTTGGTTTAACGTTATTAGACCTTTCAAGTTCCTCTATTTCGACAACGAAAGGTCACGTTCTCACAAGTGTCATTTCCGTTTCTGCCAAATCATTGCAATATTCTGCGAATTACCGCGCACGGTAGACCGCCTGATTTCGGATGTAGGAAAGGCGAAATTCTTACGACGAGAGTTATTTCGGCCGTTATCTATTCAACGGGTTTTCCACTTTTCGCGAAATACGCACGGTGGTATTTAGAGAGAACTCGTGTGTCGTCTTTACCTAATTTCTAAAATGAACGTATTATTATAGCGCCTAGAAATTGCAACACCAGTAAATTCACGCCGTTATCGATGTGAATCATGCGTCTCGTTAGCCCACAATTAACCGAATCTACAATGAACATGTACTACCAAACTACCTAATAGCTTCTAAGTCCCAATTAACGGAAAGAAACCGGATTATTTCACTGCAACCGCACAACGACTCTCATTGACTTATTGTTTCAGTCGAAAAACTGATTGTGAGAACAATAACGTCTCATAATTAACCAAATTCGTAATGATTGTATACTTCCAAATTATCTACTAGCTTCTAAGTACACGAAGAGAATTTTCTCTTAAAGTTTACCCTGAAAATCACGTGGGACAACATGGCATTTTGAAGATGAGTTTTCTTAATTTTACCGTACTCTCTAAAAGTCAATCAGTGAATTAACACTGAAAACAGTGAACAGACACCGATTTGCAGTTATAAGTATACCACTGAAAATAGCAGTGGTGTAAGTATAACTGTAAATTAGTGACCGAGGGGTAAAACCAAAATCATGTACACCAATGCCTACTAATGCCCAGTGGGCATTACTTCATCTTATTATCTTATTGTATCTCATTTACCTTGCTTTATCTTATTTTATCTTTATAATGCCCAACCTAAGGCCCAAAAAATGCCTAGTAATGTTTAGTAATGACGCAAATCTGGACACTACAATGCCCTCAGCGGTTTACCTGTCGTTAGTGACTATTCATTGATCGATTTTTAGAGAATACATTCTAGTAGTAAAATCGAGGGGTAAACCGCTGACCAAAATCATGTATGTACACCAATGCCCACTAATGCCCAATGGGCATTACTTTATCTTATTATCTTGTTTTACATTATTTATCTTATGTTATCTTATTTCATCTTATTTTGTCTTATTTTATCTTTGTATTGCCTCAGCAAGTCCCAAAAATACCTAGTAATGCCCAGTAATGCCGCAAATCTGTACACCACAATCCCCTCAGCGGTTTCCCCCCCGATGCCTACTAATGCCCAGTGGGCATTATTTTATCTTATTATTTTATTTTATCTTATTTATCTTGTTTTATCGTAGTTCATCTTATTTTATCTTTATAACGCCCCAGCAGGGCCTAATGCCCGAACTAATACCCAAAAAGTGTCTAGTAATGTCTAGTCTAATCGAAGGGTAAACCGCTGACCAAAATCATGTACACCAATGCCCAATAATGCCCAGTGGACATTACTTTGTCTTATTATCTCATTTATCTTGTTTCATCTTATTTCATCTTATTTTATCTTTATAATGCCCAAAAAATGCCTAGTAATATCTGCACGCCACAGTGCCCGCAGCGGTTTAACCCTCGAGCAAAATGTGTGGTAAAATTTCACAAAACTCTGATAAAATTCTGGGAATGCCGTGTCCCCCGATTATATGATTTTCAGGATAAATTTCCAGAAAAAATTCTCTCCCCGTGTAGCCAAGTCCCAGTTAACGGAAAGAAAACAGGATGATTTTAGTGCAGCCGCAGCGCGCAAACATCTCCGCAAACAATAATTTCGCGTCTACTACTATTGCCCATTTCCCTACATTCGTAGACAAACGCCAGCATAAATATTAACGCAACTACATCTTCGCTATTACTTCGTAACGCGCAGCAATTTATCGTGAAAGCTGCATCGAGCCGTTTACCGTGCAACAATTATGATAATAAAAGAAAACCGACCGGGTTACATAACAACGTTATCTTCTCGGGGGCCCCACGGTATAAATTTTCGACAACCCCAGGTCGCGAGCGTGCTCGTCGAAACACGCTTCCAACGCAGGAGGGTCAAAACAGGATACGGCTCCCGCGGAAGGGGGCCGCGAGCCGCGCGCAAAATATCGAGAGGGAGCAACGAAATGTCGAGTCGGAGCGTGTTAACGCGCCGAAGAAGGGATGGCTCCGCTTCCTGGAAAGCCGGGGCTGGGCACCTGTCCCTCAGGGACTGCCAACTCGGACGGGGGCGCCGCGCCGCGTCGCGCCGCGTCTTGACGCCGCCGGCCGAATGAGCGTCGCTGCCGTTGTTAAACACACCATCACGTGCGTCCGCTCGGAGCGACCGACGCGTCGCTCCGAGGAGAGACTCCGCACGCTCGCCTTCGCTGTCAGCCTGACAGCGCCGACGAGACCTATCGGCCTGTCGGACACGAGAGGAAGATCGAGGCCAGGCCGTGTTCTCTCACGCGCTCCCGATCTGACAAGTAAACAAAAATATGAAGAGAGAGAGAGAGAAAAAAGAAAGGAGAAGATTGCATCGACGAAATGTGTGTTCGGTGTCATGTCCCGAGGAACGGCGAGTCGTTCGCGTCCCGAGGATCTTCGTGGAACGCTCGCGCAGCTCGCGAAATCGAGCCCGATCGCACGCGATCGGCGGCCGCGGCGGCGGCGGTCGATATTTTCGAGACAGATAGTAAGCGAACACTAAGGACGAGCGTGGTAATGTCGGACGCCAAGGGAAACGAAACGGCCAGGCGAGATCCTCGGAGGAGAAGGAGGGTCGGACCGAGTCGTCGAGACGCGAATCAACTCCGTCCTACGCGCCGGCGCTCGGCGTCGCCTCGCGATCCTGTTGTTGCCCCGGCGGCGCGGGGGCCGCGGGACGCGAGAATAACACAAAGTTTCGTACTCACCGGACACCGCGGGCACGCAGGTGAACGCCAGCAGCGCGAACGACAACCCGACCGTGAGCGCGTAATCCAATCTCGGCCGTGGCAGCGACATGGTGCCGTAGATATTATTATGATTTTTTGGTTGTTATTCACACACGTCGGGTAGACACACACTCATCGGAAGGGAGCACGGGCGCACACACTCGGGGAAACGAACGGACGGACGGACACTGACCGGCGCGGCGCGGCGCGGCGCGGCGCGGAGCAAAGCGGCGCGACGCACACTTGTTCGATATTAGTGTACTATCGCCCGCCGTCACTCGACCGGGCGCATCGTACGCGACGCGCGTCACCAAGCGGGATGCGGCACCAAGCGACCGGGTCCCCGTGTGCACGGCGTGCTCGCGCGGATCGAGAAAAAAGGCATACGGCACGACGGTTAAGCGAACACGACCGCGTCCGAAACACTTCTGGGATCCCTATTGTTCGCTTAACGCGCTGAAAGTAGTTCCGCGGTGCGCGCGCACCTGCCGTCCGCGCACTGTATCGCTGCGCCAGCGCAGGATGGCCGACGCGGCGGCCAATCACCGCGCGGGTACAACGGCACGCCGGCCGCGCAGCGCCGCGCGCCGCCAAGCGCCGCCGCCAAGCGGAACCCCCTCGCGCGCCGCCAAGTTGTTCGAGGACTTTTCAGGGGGATGATATTCCAACAGCCGCCGAACTTGCGTTCCACGCCGACGGAAAAATCTGCGTCTCGGAAAGCGAAGGGCAAGCTTGCGTACGAGAGTTTCAAAAGAATTCGCTTTTGTATCAGCAAGCCTGAGCTCTTTTTCGGGTATAAAGGGACTTTTTTTCACACTTTGTAACAATTCACAGCGAAAAGAAATTTTTTTTAAGAAATCCCAGTTTGTATAGAAACTACGCTAATAAGGGATTTTATATACACGGGGAGAGAATTTTCTTTTATAATTTATCCTAAAAATCATGTAATTATGGGGCAACGCGTTATTTTAATAGTAAAGTGTATAGTAAAATTTCAAAAACTCTCATAAAGTTCTTTGAAATGACGTGTTCTCCCATAATTATATAATTTCCCGGACAAATTATAAAAGAAAAATTTCTCCGTGTACATACAGGGTGTCAGATTCGA